AGAGAGAGAGAGAGAGAGACGAGGTCGAGGGATGAGGGAGGGCGCATACTCTTAGGCTACGACATTATCCCGGCGACATTTGGTACTACAGACTCGCTTTCTTCATCTGGTGAGGAGTTTCTTTTCCACAAACCTTTTCTGTGCTGCATGCAATGCAAATTGACAAGCGCAAATGGTTAACCGGATGTCGGCCTGCGCCCTTTGGCATTTCAATGAGGTAGCCTTTGATCATGCCGCACGCCAAGGGAAGTGGCCAAACTCCAAGCGTCGTCATGCTTCATTATGTTCCTGGTACCACTGTGTCCTCCGCTGGTATCAAACTCTACAGAATACGTATAGCCGTTACCATTGCAGTGACATGTACTGGGAATCGTGACCATGGCACACACTTTCACATCCACGCCCGAGGCCTCGTGACGAACCCGCATGGCATAAAAGGCGATCAACACCGTTCACAGCTCGTTTAGCACCTCCAGTAAGGACTCGTGCACAGTCGCTGCAAGCGCATCATTTACAATGAGTCATTGATGTTGCAACATCGCAAGTGTCTCGATACGCGGCGGTCCGCCGTCTTCCCCGCATTTGCCCTGCCGTGGCTTAGAGCAGATTTGCGAAAGCTAGGGCTTCACACACGGACCAAACAGCTTAATATACTGCTTAGGTAACAGTTTTTTAATAAGATGATTGCCTCGGGCAAGACAAGGCTTGAGATTCCATATCGTATGGTCCTCCGTACCAGCTATCAACTGGACCGCACAAGATTAGGCTTCAGCGTTGCGGCCCCGAATAATGCAGTCGCCACTTACATATTTGCACGGTTCACTTTGACAACAGTCGATAAGAGGCCTCCAAAATGAGGCATGAATGGATCTGTTTTACTCCAAGACTTCCCATGGCATTACTTGGAAAAAGTCATCCGTCAGTGAGTGGTCTAGCGACGACCAAGAATGCACAACACCCAGCAAAATACGTCTTTTGCGGCATGCGAAGAGTGAGGTGATGACATACATACGTGTTTATCATCATGCAGATGCTTGGTACGCGCATGTGAATGAACCCTGTCGTCTTTGGGAACCCATTTTAATAGGAGGTATGGATGCATTGTAATGCTCTATATTCATAGATTTGGCATGCTAAGGTGCTCGGTCTTGAACCTTACGCTCTACACATGCACGGCTGCCGGCTTCAATGGTGGCTGACGAGACCTGCCAAGCCGGGCGTGGTGAAAGTGCATAACATAGTTTACATGATTGCGGTCAAGCTGTTACATAAATGAATACTAGTATTGTGAGTGGACGTTGGTCACCGTAAGCTGAGATACACGCCTATGCAGTGTTCACGGCTCCGTCTGTCACGATCTGAGATCATAGTGTGTCCCATTCGAGGCCGGTTTCGAAGACTACCGCTGCTGGCGCCTCGATCAGTCACTAGCGCGCTCATGGGGTCGACATTCTTAAGATAGCTTAGTGCTTTATAGACAGTATTAGTTACGCCTCTATGTGGCGTAACTGGTTTCACGCCTCCACCTGCTCTGGTAGCCGGATCCAAAACCAGCTGTTGAAAACGCCCGAAACGGGCAGGTTCATAATTTGTTTACGTCTGCGTGTGTGTGCATACGCTGGTCCACATCTTTGCCAGCGTGATTGGCCGTTTTCTTCCCTGTCAGTATCAATTAATGTCATTATGCTGTGATGCTCGGTGGCCAAGATCTAGACCCATATTACCCACCGTATTCAGTTTTTTGTGACACTTAGTCTTCCGCATCCCAGGGAAGTTGGATGAGAGGAAACATAGCGGTGATATTGCAACGGTGCAGACATACGTCGTCTAATCACACTGAGAGTACTGAGCTGTCTTGAAATCTTGTGGCATTTTTAAATTGTGGTTCCTGTTGCGGAAAATGTTGCGTCCGTGCATTTGTCGTTAAAATATATGCCCCTCACAACCGTGCCTGGTCAGACGCCGCTGGCTAACAGGACGCCGCTGACTGACAGGTGCGGATCTAGCCTGCAGTTTTTTTTTTAGGGGGGGGGGGGCAACCGTTCGTCGCCAGCTGGCTGGTGTGAGATCCGAGGTCCAGTGCATGGTGCCTCTCGCGAGTACCTAGTGGGGACACCATTCAAAACCGAAATAAGCACCGAAATGCTTTTGAATCTTAAACAAAAGTTAAAACAAAACATTTAAAACAGTCAAAGCTAAAACAGAAGTAAGTAGACGAAACTTTTATGAAGTTCCGGGAAAGTTTTTGGGGGGCCAAGCATACTTTCAGAGGTTTTGGGGGGTCATGGCCCCGTGCCCCCCCCCCCCCCAGGATCCGCCTATGCTGACTGGCCGGAAGCCGCTGACTGACCGGACGCCGCTGACTGGCCAGACGCCGCTGACTGGCCGGACCTGGCCGGACGCCGGGCTGGGCCAGACCGCTGACGCTACAGCGCTCCCGGTTGGTGAACACCAAGAGCCGCTCAGCCTACGGTCCCGCTCGTAATCACATACATGTATCTTCAACCAAACACTGGTCCCAAAGGTCTAGCAACTGAACGCAATGCAACGCAGAGTGGCTGATGCACTTCGCAAGATTGATGTTCCTCATAAAAACGCGTTTGCTACGCGGCGTGGCCAGTGCTGCATCATTTTGCAGTGATCCATTCAGCAGTGTTAGTTCTGTGAGATGATCGAGATCTTTCAAAGTAGAATGATTACGTACATACATTAATCCAGTAGCATCAGATGCTTGCCAACTTCACGCATCAAATATGGTGTTTCGCGGCGTGCGCACTGATGTCTCAAGTGGCAAACGTCCATCTTCTCAGATCTCGCTCGTTCAGCATGGCGACCAACTCTCGCCAGAGACCACATGCTTTGACCTTTAAGTCCGAGAGAAAAACAACAGGTTTATGTAAAACCACGGAAGTGGACAACCGCTGCGAAAGCTGATGCAAACTTGATCAAGATCAGGAGCAGCCCATTCCTATCTGATAGAAATGTTCTTAAAGCTTTTGAAATACATTGAGTCAGGACACCATACTGTCCGCAAAGCACACATAACACCTTAGAGGTACCAAATAACGAAATACCAACGCCTCCGAATGTAATGAAACCCTCAAAACCAACATAGTCTCAAAAACTGACGTAAGTTCCAGCACGGCAGGTCATAGAGCCCAAATGCCAAGTAGCGCCAGGAGCAAACCGGCTCGTCTGGTGCCGGTGCCGTCGCTCGGCCGTCACCAGGAGGGAGCCGCCCGTCGGGTCCGGCTGGGGGAGCGCACCTGCCCTCGGCACTGGTGCGTGGTTCCCCGCCGCCGCGGCTATCCGGCGCAGGCAGTGACCTCAGGGACGGCGACCCGCCCCGACAGTGAGTCACGCACTCCCGACAGCTGGCGAGTGACGTCGGCCGTCAGCTCCGACCAGGCGGGTGACGTCCACCGTCAGGTCTGACCAGGCGAGTGACGTCGGCCGTCAGCTCTGACCAGGCGGGTGACGTCGGCCGTCAGCTCCGACCAGGCGGGTGACGTCGGCCGTCAGCTCCGACCAGGCGGGTGACGTCGGCCGTCAGCTCTGACCAGGCGGGTGACGTCGGCCGTCAGCTCCGACCAGGCGGGTGACGTCGGCCGTCAGCTCCGACCAGGCGGGTGACGTCGGCCGTCAGCTCTGACCAGGCGGGTGACGTCGGCCGTCAGCTCCGACCAGGCGGGTGACGTCGGCCGTCAGCTCTGACCAGGCGGGTGACGTCGGCCGTCAGCTCTGACCAGGCAGGACGCCGGAATATGGGAACCGCGGGAGGGTGGCCTGACTCCTGTGGGGCTTGTGGGGCCGAGGAGGGAACCGACGGCTGGAGGACATCAGCTGGGAGATAACGCACCATTGTCCCTAATCCGAGAGGCGGGGAAACGTGATCCCTAAAGCGAGAGACCAGAGAACGTTATCCCCGACGCGAGAGACAGAGAAGGCATCGCCGACCCGTCAGACTACGGGACAGACTCCGTGATCTCGCAGACAGTGGGACGGGCGCTATATTACACCCAACAGATCCAGGAGTGCACATCCGTGACCAGCAGATCCAGCGGACATATCCGTGAGCGGTAGATCCAGGGATCAGGGTTAGACCCAGGGGACGTTATCCGTGATCAGCAGATCCAGGGGATATATCCGTGACCGGGACACCAAGATCCATGCGTGGTCAGGGAGACCGATGGCCGCCATGTAGCGCTGGCAGACTAGTGGACGTCGTAGTGGACGCTCAAAACAACAACATAGGTATTTCGGCACGACTTGCGAGACGGTGTGATATCAGCTGAGACAAGAAGTAAAGCCATGTATGAGGCAGGTGTTTGAGTTTAATGCTGTGCAACAACTCAAGCCGCTTTTGAGCGTACTGTGTCAACGTTCGAACCAAATATGGGTTTATTTTACTGCTGATGCTTACTTTGTTTACGAATGGGACCAGTCAGAGGGACCACACTGCATCTGGTCGGCAAATGCTTACTATGCTAGCATAAGAGAAGATTGCAGTTTCGTGTTGTGACACTGGTCTAATGAATAATGTAGATATAGCCAGCGGCCGGGCAGTTGCATCAGAAGATCGAATGGCTGCCATCGGCCCATGTCATTTCCAGCACATGGCATGGCGCCTGCCCGCGTGGCTGCGTATAAGCTTATTGGTACTTGACGTCGCAGCCCTGTCTAGATTTCAGCGCAGCGTAATCCGAGAACAATGCCTGACAGATGTCCAAACGTCTTGGAGCCGAACACAAACAGGAGCCCGACTTAAAGCTATCAAACATCGCCCCGTGCGATCATCAATCTTCGCCGAGGACGTAAACAGCAAGTGTATTGTCATCGAAAACTCGGAATGAAAGGACCAATGCACCGAATCACAGACGGTTTCGTTTGGATGACCATAACAGAGCGACGTAGAGCGGCTGCAGGCCTCAGGTGGCTATCGGATATTATATAACAGGACCGCACGAGTCTCAGCACGCCCTTAACTGGTGCCCCGCACCGCACCACCCACACGCCTCATTGGGAAAGCATTCTGACAGGTGTGAGCTGTCGCGAGCGATTTGCTGCCAAAATAGTACAGCGGAGCCCAACCTTACTCAAACCGGAGCTGGCGAGCTCTGGCCGGGTGCAATCAGTCAGAATCAGACTCGATATAGGCAAGGCAGACCGGGATCTTTAGCTTTTTCCTCGGCGATGTAAGCAAGCCCTGAGTTGGTGTGGTGAAAATAACGGACCTTCAGTATTCCGGATTGGGTTGAACCAGGATATCCAGAACTCAGTGGATATGTTATGCAAATTTTTCATACGTTGAATAGGTAGGATGTATTATGCGAACGCGGCGTATTGGTATTTTCATAAGATATCCAATGGTATCCTGACATCTCCGTTTTATCACTACCGTCTGGTATTCTGAAGGTCCGCTATTTTCAGCATGAGTGAGACCCACCTGACCTGACTGAGCCTTTTCAAGGACAAGATCGGACGACAGCCCTGATACCAGTCAGGGGATCGGACGACAGCCCTGATACCGGTCAGAGGATCGAACGACAGCCCTGATACCAATCGTGGCATCACAGAAGTGACCGAAACTGCAGTGGAAGCGATCCCGCCTCTCACGACCCGACCAGAAAGATGCTACCGGACGGCTTCCCATCGCTGGTTGCCGCACCAGCGGCCAGGTGGCAGCACGTGCCTCGCCCCAGTTCGCTCCAGGCGCGGGTAGCGCTCGCAACCCTGGATCTCCGCGATAAGCTCGCGATGAGGACACAGCGAGCACTTCCCATATGCTGACCCTGAGTTTATCATGCGTACGGCGTACTGTGAACGCCCTGGCTAGCCGCACGAGGAGGGCGGCGCCGGCGCCTTCCGCCGCCGCGTGACGCGAGCACGTCCCGGATCCGCTCCGCGCGTCCGCACGGGACGTCCGGGCGGGACGTGGGACGTCTCGCGCGGTTCCGCTGTGAGGGAGATGGGATGCATGGCGCTTGAGTGGACAGAGCGTCTGCTGTCCTCGACCTTCGGAGCTCACCGAGTTTGACAGGAACCCCGCACCTCTGGCGGGGCGGGGCCGTGACCTGGACGGACGGACGGAGCCGAAATTGGACGCCGGCGGGATAGAGCAGCACAGTGCACACCATCTGCTATGCGCATGCACACAAGGTATGCATCTTTGACGACAGCTTTTTTAAAGAAACTTTCTCGGTTTCAATAATTGTATCAGCTGCAGAATGAGAAGGTCGAGGATACGATACTAAATGTGGGCAATGGATCTGTTACGCCTACCTGTGTCCGTGGAGACAAGTCCTCATTTTCGTTTTTCAGCGAGATCGCAGCTTTCAATCACCCATGCCTTTACATACAGTGTACTTATCAGAGCCTCTTAGAGGGAGGGGTTTGTGATCAATGTACTTCAGGAGAGCGGAACTGCATTGTCAGTGCGCATGGACAGCCAAGGTTAACGGAAACCCGAAACACTGATTCTCAATAAAGGGCTTCCCTTACGATCAGAATATGTCTCGGTCGAATCTGGTCATTGACGAGGACTTTAAACATGATTTGATGGTCTTTTCACAGACTCCATGGAGGTATGCCAGCAGAAAGTGCTTTTGTAGAAAGCTGTGCATAAATATCAAGTTGTTGTAAAGCCGAAAGACCTGCACAAAAAACACTCAAGAAAAGAACGGTGAATAAATTCGCCACTTGGGTTTGAGCATTCAGGTGCACAAAGCTACCAGCTACAGCGGGCACAGAAAGGACTTTGATGTACAAGGTTAAGATGGCTGCTAAATCTCTCCTGGTATAGTGAGCCGTTCCGCTAGAAATGCAATTTGATGTTAAGTTAACTTCATGCACACGTGCATTTCACACGCGATGTTTGCAAGCAAAGTGGCCAAGCGCTGCGAAAAGGCAGCATAACCGTAAAGGGCACCGATTGCCACCAGCAAGCACCGTAATTCTGGTCCAAAATGGACCCTTTGCTCTTCATTGGCTGCATTTCATCCGTAACATCTCTGACCATCGTGGGAGGTATAGGCACGCTGCCTTGGGAACGCTGAATGTCTAGAACTTGGCAGCTTTGCACAGGGGGGAATATAGCTTCAATGGTAGACCACACTACTTCATTCGCAGCAAGAATCCGTAGTAAATTGACCACGATCCATTCACAATCATACGCTGCGTCACCAACAGGGCAATGTTACTTCAAATTTACATCCGCTGCACCGATCGGGACTGAGTTAAGTAATGACGGTCTCGCCATTAAACAAGTGTTCTTGGAACGTCCCCACGCCTCGGTCTTAGCCCATACGTAGCCGATTCTGGCATGCGACCTTGCCATCATGGAGATGGGGTTTCGTTCAGTCGCGGTAGAACCTTCAACAGCTGAGTGAGCTGTGCCCGACCTTCTCACGCCTGCTGTCCCAATACACGTCTCACCGGCCCGCGGCCTCCCCACTGCAACCGCCGACCGCATAAACACCCATCTGCCGCTCGCCACAAACGCCCGAGCCGTGACCCCGAGATTGCAGAGCCGACCTAGAGCAGCAAACTGCCCGGTAATCGGCCGACAAACACCTCATCACGGCCGGCGAACCCAGGCGGTACTCACCATCTCGTCGAGGCTCTTTAGGTCGTTGGTGACCACCTGCTGGCTGGGGCCGTACACCATGATAGCTGGCGGCTCGTGATCGCGTAGGCCTCCGTCTCCGCCCGCCTCGTCGCGCGCGATCTCCCGGTCGATCTGCTGCTCGAACTGCACAAGCATGGGCGCCGCCATGCCGAACTTGGCCCCGCGTCGCGCGATCTCCAGCAGGCACAGGATCACGTGCTTCTCGTTCTTGCGCGATACCAGATCCTCGGTCTCGAACATGAGGCAGTCGAGCACGCCCAGCTCGTTGCACCAGCGGATGAAGTTGTGGATGTTGTCGCGCGAGAAGAAGGAGCCGGGACGCGCCTGCCGGTTGTAGTGTACCTCCCAGCCGGGCACCCGGAAGCCGGGTGAGAAGCGACGGCCGTGGCGCATGACGTGATCCGCCTCGAACTGCTCCGAGCACACGCGCACCTGATTGGCGTGCTGGGGACGGCCACGGGCCGGGTCAGCTGGTGCCGGGCAGCGGACCTGTCTAGTCGGCGGCACGGGCCGGGCAGGGGCCAGGGCTTGCACAGCCCCGGGCGGCGGGGCTGAGGACTGCTACTCACACAACAGTGCGAAGAGGGAGGGCTTTCTGTTGGCAGGAATGCCTACGCGTGTGAAGTGCATTAGTCATGTATTGACCTGGTGGTGTCGGCGTAGTAACCGTGAATGCGTTTTTAACGAGAGGCCGACACACCTAGGTGTTTTTTTTTTTTGCTGTTTGATCGATAGTGCTGTTTGCACTAATGTTTTGAGGATCAAGCCGTCGGCAGACATTGCTCTGCTGTGTCAGTGAGTGAGTGAACAGGGCCTGCAGGACATTGCAGCTACCGAGAAACACATACCACACAGTGGTGTGAGAAAGTTAGGGGCCTAAAGCACAGACTGGAAGAGTTTCTGTACAAACAGCTGCATCAGCTGCAGCTGTCGCACGTGTGACCAGCGTGAGAGCAGCTGTAGCAGTTACGAAACGCGATAAACATACAAACAAAAGGTACGCTTTACGTATGTGGGCTTCGTGCAAGTCCACGGACAAACAGCCAAGTAAACTTAACGGTACATTGAAACCCGTTCAACCCACGCTTAACGGTAAGTTGACACCTCCGGCTAGGTGTTGATGTTGAACGCTACGTACGTCGTCACACCCTTTTAAAGAGCACCAGCGACGGCCATATTGGCGCTCAGGGGTCCTGGCGCAACCGGGATTCGAGCCCGGACTCCTCACGTGGAAGTGCAACACACAAACCATTCGGCCATTACGTCCCCTTTACATCAAATTAGTACTCTGCCGAGAACGTATGGAGTATGATGTCAGGGATATATAGTAGAACTAACACGAAGGGAAGAAATTGCTGCAAATGCTACGCTGGAACTTGATTGAAATGCTCGGAAGCTAATCTATGCACAAGTAGATCATTGACGTTCGCCAAGAATGAAAACAAACATGAGCACGGACTAGACAAACTCACGTCACAGAATCAGCTGAGCGCAGAACGTGACAGTAACCACCAAACCCTGGCACCGGCATCCCAATCAGCATACGTACGTTGCAGAGGACGATACCAGTATCGAGCTTCTCCATGAACACCTCTGCCGTCATGTCCAGCTCGTAGAGCGTGTTGAGCCACTCAGCCAGGTCCTCCTTCATGGCGTACAGGTACTCCTCGGACGTCTTGAAGGGCCGGAACGGTCGGCTCTCCACGTGTCGCAGCCCCTCCGGTCCTCTGTCGCTCACCATCTCGGGCATGGTTGCACGCCCGGCCGCGTCACCGACTAACGCTTCCTGCCGTGTGTCACCGCTCACAGGCTGGCGGCCCACAACCTGGCGACGGTCGCAGCTCGCCGCCCAGCTCTCAGCTCGGCACCGGTGGCAGCTCGCAGCTGGGCGTGCGGCGGCGGACGGGTCGCGCACGTGGCTGACGAGCGGTCTGACAGCGACGGCGGCGGCGGCGGCGGCGGCGGTGGCGGGTCGGCGCGGATGGCCCCGTGGCAAGGCCGCGGCGAGGACGACCCTGAGCGGCGCGCGGCGGCGGCGGCGGCACTGGCGGACGGCGCGCTGCTCACTGACCCGTGCAGGCCTGACCGGAGCGTGCTCTGCGCGCAGGGGGCGCTGTCGGCCTCGAGAGGCGGCGGCCCCAGCCTGGAGCGGACCGAACGGACCGTCTAGTCCGGCCAGATCGACGCGGCGCGTGTCAGATACTCTTGTGCCTGGGCACACACTGGCTAGTTAGCGAATAAGGGGACGGAGAGTTGGGGGCGTGGCTGGGCGCTTCGCGGTCTGATGTCCGGCGATTTGTCTCTTGTATTACACTTGGACGTGCCCGCGCCAGAGTAAGGACCAGCGTTTACGTTGTCCTTGCCTTTGCACTGTGGCGAAGTCGCGTTCTCTCAGCTGAAACACTGTTCCGTGCCCGGCTTTTCTGTCACTTCCAGTGCGGCCTCCGCCAGTCGTCGTCACCCGGACTTAAGTCCTCCCTCGCGAGCCGCGCCCTGCCTCCACTCTTGGACCTCACACGGCCGTCACCGCGGGAGCGCTGCCCCAGCCGTGGCCATACACTCGGAGCACCTACCCAGCCGTGACCAGCATCCAGCGCACACTGGCCCGGAGCCGCCTGGACGCCGCCTCGTCCTGCCGGGCGCCGGGCAGGGCCGGTTCTCGTCGGCGGCAGGCATTAGGGATGCCGGGGCGCGACCCGCGCTCCCGAGCTCCGCGCCGCACTGCTTAAAAGGAAGTCGGCCGCCAGTGCTGGTCGGATGCCGGGAAAACAAGCGGCATGCCGCAGATGCCCATTGCAAATCGCCACTACGGAAAGCACGGGTTGTCATGAAGCTGTTTATGGTGTGCCGTTTGGTGAGGCTTCTCGCCTACAAAAATCGCCTGCGAAATTAAGCGCAAGAGATAGATGTCGAACAGCCAGACGGGTTTCCAGTGACCTGTAATTTAGAGTGCGCCAGTGGAATGGCACTTTACCGACTGGTCCCGTACCTCTGCCTGTATCTCCACCAGTGTCTGGACTGCCGTTACATGTAACTAGTGGTAGAATCCGGTCAGGTCATACTGCCAGTCATTTCGCCTGAAGCGCGCCCCACTCCCAGCAGCCTTGGCTCGTGTTTCCGGTACCATTTATGCTGCGAAGTCACGTGTCTGCGGCTGCAGTGGCGTTCTGGAACGACACTGGCACCGGCCGGATGGGCTGCCAGATCTGGTGGCCTCCAGGCCAGCCCGGCTCTCTCCCCATGACCCCGCGACCCGGCTCCCAGTGACACGGGCTCCAAGGAGCTGCGCCGGTCCCTTCCGGGTCTATCATGCACCAACCGGTCACCGCCTGGTTATCATGGTTGGCGCACCGCCATCTGAGCCAACACCATATATGGCCGTCAACTGTAAGGCCGTCGGAGCTCCCTGGCCGATATTCAAGACTATCCCGAACTGCATCGCCATCTGTTTCAGCAAAACTCTCCCGGGCCACTCAAAGATCTGTAAGTTCTTGCTCAGGTGACCCGCGCCCAAAAGTGTGACTCATGAGTCAGCCCAGGACCAGCGGTTCAGCTACAGCGAGCGACGTTCTGGCGCCAGAGCCCCACAACCGGTTTGGCAGTCAGCGACGACCGGGAGGCGACGACTTATATGGCGTTGGCCATGCCGGGCGGTACCTCACAGCGCTCGGCACGTGTTGTCCGTTCAGGGGCCGTGTATTTATGGAAAAGCTTCCCCAACAGCGAGTTTCCTCGAAGTTTGGCCGGCTGACTTTTATTGAACCTCGAAAGGCTGATATTAACACTGAAGACAGCACCCGGGCCAATGGGCGAACGGCTAGTCTGGTTGAACGTTGCGGTGTTGTCGATAATGCATAATGGTCCAAATGCTTCCACGCAGTAAGCTTCCAGTTCGTCCCAGCTGACAAGGCCAGGGAAATGACGGATGGACAGCGTGGCAATATCTCCGCACAGTCAGCACGGCGCGCTGTCCAGCACCCGCATGCGCTATCTTAGATGCGTCGCAAAAAGATGCCGCACAAATCACAGCGAGTGCCTGTTTACGATCTCCGGCACTTATGACAAATTCAATTAACCCCTCGCATTACCGGCGGCACGAAACGCAGCGTGCCGGCACGCGACCGCGACCCCGTCCCAGGCTGGGATCACGTCGGCCGGCGCGGTGGCGCGACTCTCCCACGCTGGCGGGGCCGAAGCCTTGGCCCGCGCCGGCCGCCACCAGAAGACGTGCCGCGAACGCTAACGTCGCTCGACGCAATCGGTGCCGAAGCCGTGCTATCGCCGCGCCCACAGCCGCGCCTTGTATGAATACAAGGCGCCAGTTGGCCCTCGGATGATGCCGGTTTTTCGTCGCCCATCTTTGGTGCGGTCTGACTTCCAGTCCCTTACAGGGTCTTGCATTGGTATGCAGGACATTGTCAGCCCGGCGGCCGTCTCAGGTGAAGTTCTAGACCCTTGGCTTCTGATGTGTTATTTCGTTTGCCTCTGAGACATGCACGGCGGATGTACGGTCACGTGGACAGTGAACGAACGCGACCTGAAAAAGCCAGTACATCCGGCTTGTTTGCGGCATTCTTGACCGAGCGCAGCATTTCACAGTTCCAGAATGTCTGCTGACCTGAATGATTAAACTGCTACATGGGACGTGAGAGTTGTAGTTTTAAGACAATAGCTCAACGGACACCGCTCTTCCAGCCTTCGAGTCCGTGCGGTTAGGGCGCGCGCGTCCACCCGGTACAGGTCTCAGCAGGGCGGGGACGCAGATTATCCAGTCCGGTTAGGGGGCGCGTCCGCTCGGTGCAGGTCTCCGTTCAGCCATTACAGAGTGGGGACGCAAACTATCCAGTCCGGTTAGGGGGCGCGTCCGCTCGGTGCAGGTCTCCGTTCAGCCATTACAGAGTGGGGACGCAAACTATCCAGTCCGGTTAGAGGGCGCGTCCGCTCGGTGCAGGTCTCCGTTCAGCCATTACAGAGTGGGGACGCAAACTATCCAGTCCGATTATGGGAGAGGTGGGAAGGGGGCGCGTCCGCTCGGTGCAGGTCTCCGTCCAGCCATCCCAGGGCGGGGACGCAGATTATAAAGTCCGGCTAGGAAGCGCGTCCGCTCGGTGCAGGTCTCCGTTCAGCCATCGCAAGGCGGTGACGCAAACCATCCAGTCCGTTTTCGCACACCCACCAGTCAGACCAGGAGCGTAACCGTATATTCACCACCATGACGTTCGCGACATGTGACACATCACAGGGCAAGCTGGCAGTGCCGGAGCCTTACAAGGAGGGCTCGCGCCGCCGCCCGTTCTCTGCAGACCTATTAGACAGCGGGCGCATCGGAAAAGTCCGGGCACGTGACATCCGGTGATGGAAAATATTAAGGCAAGTAACACACAAGTGTGAGGCGTCCAGGAAGAGCACAGCGACCATTCAAGTGTAAAAACATGCTGATATGAATGCATGCATACTGAATGACGCATAGAGTAAGTCCATAAGATCACTCATTATGGAGGATGTATGACAATCGTAAAAGATGCCATCCTTCGACGAGCTGGAAAGCCAAATAACATATACACACAATGCAAACGGTGTTACAAACTGCTGTACATAAAAATTAGCAGCAAATTAATATAGGGCAAACTATCACCACGGGCCACACCCTTATTGCTCCCGTGTTGCTTCTGCTGCCAACACAACATACCGCCAAGCAGCATAAAAATACACACAGGCGAAAACATGCAGCAAAATGTGCTGGTTGCCTAGACACGCATATGCCCAAATACGCCGAATGAGATCTCTCATGAGTAGAGACGGCGAAACCCAAATTATGCAATCAGTGAAATCGTAGTTAACACCTTTCATTATTCATGTCTAAGGCGATGTCAAAACAAAGCAGTATGGAGCGGAAACTCCAGCTTTCTCAAAAACTATCACGCTTCTGCTACCGGCTTGAGGCCAGTTTTCCGGTTTCCGGCCGATTTTCCGGTTTTCTGGCCGGTTTTTTAGATAATCGTTGGGGTTTCGGTCTGGTCGCACTGAATGAAAATACTGACGATTGCAGAGCCTGTCCTAATAAAAACATTCAACACTAAAAAAAATAGCTTACTAAAAGGTTGGACAATCCTTGTAAGCATAGGCATAGCCAGCAAGACGTGTTTACTAATGTTCTGTCAGTGATCAGATTTTTCTAAAAAGTTCGATACAAATAACTATCGGTTTACGCTATCACCGAGTTGTTCTGGCGTCCTAAAAAAGAGGTTGTTCGGTTATGGATTTTTCTAGAAAAAAGGCAGTACCAATCATGGTTCACTACCTCAGCCAACATGCACAAGTGCGAGTGCGTCTTTTTTTGCTTCGCCTGACGGCTAACGTGACACCCACAGTGCGTGGCGCAGACCGAATCTCGCCCAGGAGGAACCCTTTCAACGAAGGAAACCTTGCAGCCCTCTTCGTCGCCATCGGAACTTTGTTTTTAGACTCGCATCACTTTTTTAGGCTCGGGATATAGCTTCGATAGCTCGGGGTACATTCTTGTGTTATAGAAGCCCTACTGATATCTCAAACTGACAGAACATTGGGCCCTTCGCCCCTCCCCCGCCACCTCCAGCGAGCGGGATGGGCCCAACATCCCCCCCCCCCTCTAGCTGTCAATCGGCTACGCCACTGGCTACCGCCAGGTCAGGTGCCAGTGCCAGCCGTCGTCGCAGTCAGCAGGGCCTGCAGCCCGACCGGGCAGCTTACACTGCCAGCATGCGGCCGGTGGGAAAAGCTGTGTTGCGACAGGACGTGCTTCAGACAGGCTCCTAGTCGCGCAGTCGGAAAAATAAGGTTGTGGGATCACTTATATGTTACGTTTATGAGAAGAAACAGCATGTACTGTCAGCCATCCAACCGAGTGACTGGCTTTTACAGCCCAATACGGTCGAGCAAAAAATAAGGAAATCAACGGAAACGCATGTTGAGAAATCAACGAAAATCAGCTGCATAAAATTCGTACTTGAGAGTACAAACGGGCAGGGATTTCTTCTCAACGATTTCTTCACAAATATCCAGACTTACCACAGTCGTCATTCCTCATCGAAGCACACGCCGCTATGTAAAGTAGTTACAAAACCTCCACTCTAGCTACCAAGCCGCCACAGCGGACCTTGCCTCTATTCCCAAGGCGACAGCAAGCGTATTTTACCGAGCGTGCAGCATACCAACTGCCGACACTCAAACGTACCCAGCACGCGACGATGCAGCGCAACGCCGCCGTACGCCGTCCTCATGCCATCGAAGCTCTCGCACGGAGCCGACTCCGTCTCGCCCCCACGGCCGGCGCGCTGCACAGCTGCGGTCGGCGGCCGACCCCGGTGACTAGTGAGCGCCTCATGAGCGCGGGCCGGGCCGCGAGGAGGGCGTGCTGTCCGCCTTGGCCGCGGCACCGGCGGCCCGGCCGGCCGGCCCGCTGGCCGTGCGCGCCGGCGGCCTGCCCCCTGATCCGGCTGTGGCCGTCCCCGCCGCCAGTCTCGCAGCCCCGGCCGACCGGGACTTGACACCACCCGATGCTGCCGTCTTACCACCCGTGGTGGTTCCGGCAGACTTGGCGGCGGCGGGCGCTGCTTTGGTGCCGGCGGGGCCGCCCTTGGAGGCGCCGACGCTGGCTTTGGGGACGGTGGAGACACCTTTGGGAGACGCTTCGCCTGGCGTTGGCGAGGCTACCCGCTGAGCGGCGGCCGAGCCGGCCTTCTTGGCTAGAGACGCGCCCGCCTTCTTACCCACAGGGCCGGCGGCGGTCGGTTTACTGGTCGGCTCCATCTTTTCCGCCACGGCCTTCTTGCTGAGGGCCGCACCAGATTTCTTCCCGACAGAACCGACGGGTTTCTTTTTAGTGGCGACGGCCGTGGTGTCCTCCGAGGACGGAGTGCTGGCCGTGGAGGAGCTCACGGAGGACATGGACTGCCGGGAGGACGCTGCGGAGAGGGTGGGCTGCTTGGAGGACGGAGCTGAGCCTGCGGGCTGTTTGGCCGATTGCGTAGATGTCGTCGAGCGTTTGGCGGATGGTGCAGAAGTGTTCCGTTTCGAAACCGTCGAGGAGGCTGGGGTTTGCGTGACAGACGTCATGGATGCTGCGGGCTCCTTCGCAGTATCCTTTGAAACAAAAGGCAACTTCGAAGAAGCACAGCTCGCCGGCTGCTTAGCCATTTTTGAGGAAGCGGCCGTTGCTGGCTGTTTGATTAATGCTGTCGTTGTTGAGGGAAGCTTTGTGGATGTCGCAGATGAAGCCGTCTGCTTCGCAGGTGACGCATAGGTCGGGGGCTCTTTTACAGACGCAGCAGGTGTTGATGGTTTTGTTGCTGACGATGCTAGCTGTTTTCCGACCGTGCTGGCGGTCAGTGGCTGTTTCGGAGACGGTGCGACCTTGGATGAGAGTTCTGCGGACGGCACGGTCACTGAGGGCTGGTTCAAGGATGACCACGGCCCTGGGGACTGCTTCGTAGACGGAGCTGACACTGTGGCCGACTTAGCCGACTTTGACGCGGGCGAGGCCGCCGACGGCTGCTTGCCGGACGGCGAAGAGAGCGTGGGGTGCTTCGTGGACACCGCGGTGCCCGGCGCCTGCCTCGGAGTTGGTCCGGACGCTCCCGACTGCTTCGCGAGCGGCGACAGATTGATGCTCGCCCCCGCCGGAGCGGTGAAGGCCGCCTGCTTCACTGCCCCCGGCCCGGCGAACGCCACGATGGGCTGGCGCGTGCTGACCGAGCGCCACGGGGCGCGTCGCTCGCCCGTGTTCTGGTACACGTTGCCCGGCTCCAGCATGCTGACCGGCCGAGGCCGCTCCTCGGGCGCCTCGTCGATGGTGCAGTAGATGTTCTCCGTAGGCGTGGCGCCGCCGCCGGCCGGCCGGTCGGTGTTGCAGTCGTCGTACAGCTCGGGCACGCCGGGCGGCCGTGGCGGCGGCTCGGTCGGCCGCACCAGCAGGCTGACCGGGCGCGCCACGTCGGAGGCGGCGCGCACCGGCGGCCGGCGCCCGCTCGACCGCGCCGGCAGCGTCCCGAACTGGCCAACTGCCGGCTGTGGGATGGGGTGCGAGATGCCCAGCGTGCGCACGGTGTCGCGGTCCAGCTTGGCCGCCTTGAAGCTCTGGCTGGAGTGCAGGCCGGTAGCCGGGCTGCGCGGCGCCTCCTCTGGCGGCCGTTCGGCACGGCGGAACACACTGGCCACGCGCGACAGCGTCGAGCCAAGCGCGCCCTCCCGCTCGCCGCCGGCGGGACGCGACACGTCCGAGCGGTCCGACTCCAGCGTCGACGACCGGCTGGTTGGTGCCGACCGGACCGGCTCCGGCGCCGCACCGGCCTGCGCGGCGAGCGGCGGCACCGAGGGCGGCGCCGGCGGCGGCGTGCTGGGCTTCCTGTCGAGCGTGCCGGCGGCGAATCGGACCTGACCGGGCACGGCCCGGGTCGGCTGCGGCTCCTTAGCGTCGATGGCCGGCGGAGCGGGCGGGGCTGGGTCAGCCCGCTTCTCCAGCGCGCCAGCGGCCGACCTGACCCGGCCCGTGACGACCCGAGCCAACGGCGGCCCCGCCGCCGCGGCCGAGCCCGGGGGTTTCCCGGCCTCGCCCGACAGAAACGCCGTCCTCGCGGCTGCAGCGGCGGAGACGGGCTTTGGCGTGGGCTCCCTCGCGTCAAGCTTTCTGTCCCCGCCAGGCTGCTTGCTGTCCTCGCCCGATTTCTTTCCCAGCGCCGTCATGCCGAACGTTGTCCGTCGCGAGCTAGAGTCCGCGGCCAGTTTCGCGGTCTGGTCGCCAGGGGCACCACCGGCGGTGGCCGGTCGCTTCGTCAGCATGCCGAATGTGGTGCGAGGACTCTGCACAGCACTGACCGGCACCTTCGCCTCCTTTTTGGGGCTGACCTTCGCACTCACCAGGCGCTCATTCGGCTGCGCCTTCCGCGCCGTGCCGTCCGCCTTCACCATGGGCTTGACCTCGCAGACGAGCCGCTGGTCGGGCGGTCGGGCGGCGCCCTGCTCGGCGCGTGCCGGCGCCGGTCGCGCCAGCGCGCCCAGCCGGCCCAGCAGGCTGGAGAGCAGTCCGGTCTCCGCCGCCGGCTCGGGCGCCGCCGTCGGCTGCAGCAGCTCGTCCTCACCCGTCAGCATCACCAGACGCACGTTGTAGCTGTCCGTCTTGCCGGCCAGGTCGCGGGGCACCTCCGGACGGCGGACCGAGCGGGCCGCCGGCGCCGGCCTCCCGCCTCCCGCCGACGACAGCTTACTGCAACACCGAGGCGGCGGCAGCGTCAGCTGGAGCATCGGCCACGGCGCCGCAGCAAGCATTCGCGTTTAAAGCGCCGGCCACAATAGGTGGGCACAACTTGCAGGCACGCCGGCAAAAAGCACGTTCTCCTATAGTGAGCCGCGCCAAAATAGTTGAATGATTATATGGACAAGATTTAGCCAACGCCCGTATCAGCCGTCTGTCAATGACGTTAATGAGCTCGATGATAGGCAGCAGGTTCCTGCATTACATCCTCACTGTAGGATTATGTTTGCTGAACTGTTATCGGCCAACACCATCATATCCAATTACACCATCCCATTCGATCACGCCATCACATTAGATCTCACCATCACATTCGATGACACCATCACGTCCTATCACACCATAATATCCAATTACACCATCACATCCAATCACACCATCTCATCCAACCACACCATCACATTAGATCACACCATCACATTCGCTCACACCATCTCATCCGATCACACCATCACGTCCGATCGCACCATCAAATCTGATCGCATCATTACATCCGATGGCACCATCACATCCGACCGCACCGTCACATTAGATCACACCATCACATTCACTCACACCATCTCATCCGATCACACCATCACGTCCGATCGTACCATCACATCCGATCCCACCATCACGTCGGATCGCACCATCACATCCGATCGCACCATCACATCCGATCGCACCATCACATCTGATCCCGCCATCACGTCCGATCCCACCAGTCCCCATATCTCTGTCAATGGCTTTCCATGAAACATATCCTATCGGCAGTAGTGTCCTTCTGCCCAGTCATCCCTGTAGGAGGCAACAGCACTAGATCTCTCAGCTTTAAAAATACCGTCTCGCAAAGCGTCGAAAAAAATATTTCTGTCTGATAGCCGGCCAACATCAACTTATCCCAATACAAAACCATACGTGAACACCTTTATCTCCGAGCCATGGAAACACAGAACACAGAGACGGCCTGCTCACTCCTGGATCGGCAACATTCGCCTCTGCCTGCGCCTGCTCGCTGCCGGCGGCGGGGAGAGTGGGGCGTACCTGCTGAGGTGGGAGGCGACGGGCAGGCGGCAGCAGGCCGGTAGCCGCAGCAGCTGGCCGGGCGAGAGTCGGTGGCGCCGGCAGTACAGGCAGCACAGAACCAGCGCCACAGCCGGCACCACGCCCAGGAAGATCACGAACAGCACGACGGCCGCCGTCCTGCCGGCTGGCGGCGCCGGGCGGCGGTCAGACTCCGCAGCAGCGGCCGGACTCACCACCGCGGCCGAGAACGGCACGGGCGGCGGTCAGACTCCGCAGCAGCGGCCGGACTCACCACCGCAGCCGAGCACGGCACGGACGGCGGTCAGACCCCGTAGCAGCGGCCGGACTCACCACCGCGGCCGAGAACGGCACGGGCGGCGGTCAGACTCCGCAGCAGTGGCCGGACTCACCACCGCGGCCGAGCACGGCACAGGCGGCGGTCAGACTCCGCAGCAGTGGCCGGACTCACCACCGCGGCCGAGAACGGCACGGGCGGCGGCGCGGCCGACTGCCGTAGATCGACACGGGACCGATCGGAGCATGACGGTCGACTGCGTCCCGCGACACTGATCCGCTCTAGTAATCTGAGCTTGCCCCAGATGCTCAAGAACATTAACACCCCGTAGCGTTCACGAGAATGCGTTAAAACAGAGCCAGACAAACTCGCAAACGCATGCTGAGTTTCAGCAATCCCTTCATCACCACCCAGCTAGAGGAGCGCGACCACACAGATCTGACGCGCGCCAAGCGAGCGGGCCGTCGACTGACCGGTGCTCTGCAGGTTGGGACCGCTGTCGACGCTGCCGCCGACGCCGGCCTCGGCGCAGAGCGGCGGCGCCCAGCCGTAGTCGCAGTGGCAGTGGCCGCGCGAGTTGCAGACGCCGCGGCCGCTGCAGCCGGACGGGCAGCCGCCGGCCGTTACCGTCGCCACCGACGCGCACCGCTGGTCCACGCACATCTGCGCAGCGCGAGGCGCATACCGACCGTTCACACATGCGTGGCGGTGCATGGTACACACCGCTGGTGGCGCAAGGCGTTTGTCATTGTTCCACGGGCAAGGTGGAGGTACTCGCACTACAACACTGGCTTGGGGACCGGCATCAGCCACACGACTGATATTACTTGTGCGCCAGCAAGGCATGCCTCCAAGCCTGTGATGTGAAGCAGTTTCTACACAACAAAATGGCAGCGTTCGACGCACCGGGGAATCTGATGACGGGGGAGGGGACCTGGGGTCGATAGGATGGCCCGTCTCAGCCTGAGACGAGGCCGGGTCCGAGCACCTGGAGGTCGTGACCCCTCCCGAGGGATGGCACGCCGGTGGACGCGCGGGACAGTGTCTCTCGGGGAACTCTGGCGGACCCTGGCGGGGGTCCACGCGGTGGGAGGCGCGCGCGCAACTTGGACTCAAGCTTTGGGCCGATGCTCCGTTTACGCAGCCGTCGCCGAAGAGGGAGTAAAATGAGTCACGCATATTGTTGCGATGCATATCGGAACAAGGTGCGTGGCTACAAAGCGGCTACGGAACCAGGCTGAGCATTTGTTGGACGGTACTGGCAGCCGACATGTAATGCCAGGTGTAATGTCACGATGTTGAGTCCTAATGGCGTCTGTGCAATGTCGTAGCTTGTCAATGTTTGAATACAAATTCCGAAGTAATATGATCAACAGGGATGTCCGTTATATGAAAGCTGTCCAAACTTCTTTGGCAAATTGGTCACCCTACCTGATCATCGTAATGCCTCTTCAGCCTCAAATCCACATCCCAACAACCCCACGCGCATACGTTTCAACAACCACGACAAACTTCGCAGTTTCGGCGGCCGTATCTTCTCAGAGACGGACGAATATTTTAACTGCAATCGTCATCCAGAAGGCCCATGAAATATAACACAGTCCACTGCACGAACAGAGCATGTGCGCAGTATACTTAAATACACCACACTCGTGCTGCGGAGTGCTCACTGGTAACCCCCCCCCCCCCCCCCTATCACTTCCCCGCGACTATCCAGGAGAGAGGCGTTACCTTGCCAGAGCCGCACGCGGCGCCCTGAGGCACGAGGCCGGGGTCGCGCTGTCGCAGTCCCAGGTCGATGACGGCTGATCGGCACGGCAGCACCTGGCCGTCCAGCTTGATGAACGAGACGGACAGCTCGGCAGCCGACTCCACGCCGTACTCGAGCCGCTCGTTCAGGTGCGCGCAGTGCAGCGTGCCGCACAGCACGTCACTGCGGGACAGACGGCCAATGAGCGTGAAGCGTGGAGAGCACAGCACGTCACTGCGGGACAGACAGCCAATGAGCACGCCGCGTGGAAAGCACAGCACGTCACTGCGGAACAGACAGCCAATGGGCACACCGCATGGAAAGCACCGCACATCACTGCGGGACAGACGGCCAATCAGCGCACACGGGGGACATGCCACCGCGGGACAGACAGCCAATCGACGCGCACGGGAGACACGTCACAGCGGGACAGACAGCCAATGAGCACGCCACGTGGAAAGCACAGCACGTCACTGTGGGACAGACGGCCAATCAACGCACAAGGGAGACACGTCACCGCGGGACAATCGGCCGATCAGCGCGCTGCGCGAACGTCATGGTGGCGGGCTGGCATCACAATTCTGTGCATGGAGACATTGCCGCGGCCGGCCGAATGCTTTGCGCATGAAGGCATCGCGAAAAACACTACGAAAACTGCACTGCAAATTTGTTTAGTGTTGTATACAGAATGACTGCGGGGATAGTCAGTGAGAGCGGCAGAAAAGAGCCGCGCTGCTCCAAGCAGCCGATACGAGCCGCCTACCGGGCAAAAACCCGTAAGCGACAGACGAGCGGCCGACACCCTGCTACTGGTGCCCCGTCAGCACCCAGCCGGAGGGCTGACACAAGCCGCACTGTCTCGGCACCCGCCTGGGCTTGCAGCGGTGGTAGGAATCGTTGAGCCTGCTGTAGCCGCAGTTGCCCAGGTGGGTGCCCTCCACGTTTTGTTCGTAGCACTGGCTGGCCGAGTTGGAACCGGTGCGGCCCCAGAGCAAGCGACACTGGTCGTCACGTGTGGAACACCCGCCAGCGTAGCAGTACGCCTGGTGACCGGAGGTGAAACGTGAGGGTCGGCACCAGGACATGCCGAACTCGTCCAGCTTACCCGCAGCGTTGAAGGCTACGTTACGACCTCGGCACGGGGATGAAATCCACACAAAATGAACACAAAAAATCGGTGACAAAAATAAAAACTGCATATACAAGGCGCAACCAAAAACCGCAACGTGCCTTGGCGGCAGTGCAGCATTGACCAGGCTTGTCCTAAAAAACTGCTTGCAACACAGTAACCACAGCCTAGCAAAACCAGCCAACTTTGTCCATGGCGAAGACAAGGCTGTGCTCCGCACCAGCGTGCGCGCGCGCGTCACACGTGGTGCGTCTCGCCAGCCGCGTGCGCCGGTGCTGCGGCGCGCCCACCTGTCCGGCGCGGCAGGGCAGGCCGTCCTGGCGGTGCACGTCGGCCGGGCACAGCTCCGAGCGGCCCGTGCAGTACTCGGGCAGGTCACACTCGCCGGGCGCCGGCCGGCACGGCTCGCCAGCCGGCCGCAGCTGACACGTCTGACGGCGGCGAGAGGTGGCCAGGTCAGGTAACACCTCCGCCAGGTCAGATAACACCTCCGCCCGGAGAGGGAGAGAGAGAGGTGGCCAGGTCAGACAACACCTCCGCCAGGAGGGAGAGAGAGAGGTGGCCAGGTCAGGTGACACCTCCGCCAGGTCAGAGATAACACCTCCGCCAGGAGAGGGAGAGAGAGAGGTGGCCAGGTCAGGTAACACCTCCGCCAGGTCAGATAACACCTCCGCCAGGAGAGGGAGAGAGAGAGGTGGCCAGGTCAGGTAACACCTCCGCCAGGTCAGATAACACCTCCGCCAGGAGAGGGAGAGAGAGAGGTGGCCAGGTCAGGTAACACCTCCGCCAGGTCAGATAACACCTCCGCCAGGTCAGATAACACCTCCGCCAGGAGAGGGAGAGAGAGAGGTGGCCAGTCAGTAACACCTCCGCCAGGTCAGATAACACCTCCGCCAGGAGAGGGAGAGAGAGAGGTGGCCAGGTCAGGTACACCTCCGCCAGGTCAGATAACACCTCCGCCAGGTCAGATAACACCCCCGCCCGGGAGGGAGGAGAGAGAGGTGGCCAGGTCAGGAAAACCTCCGCCAGGTCAGATAACACCTCCGCCGGCGAGGGAGGGAGAGAGAGGTGGCCAGGTCAGGTAACACCTCCGCCAGGTCAGATAACATCCGCCAGGAGAGGGAGAGAGAGAGGTGGCCAGATCAGTAACACCTCCGCCAGGTCAGATAACACCACCGCCAGGAGAGGGAGAGAGAGAGGTGGCCAGTCAGGTAACACCTCCGCCAGGTCAGATAACACCTCGCCAGGAGAGGGAGAGAGAGAGGTGGCCAGATCAGACAACACCTTTGCCAGGAAAGGGAGAGAGGATAGTCACGTCACACTCCCGGCGGTAGGCATCGAAGTGAGGGGGGGGGGGACACGCAGACGGTCGATCAAACACAAGGGGCTAGAGACCTGTCTTCAGGGGGGCTAGGGGCTGAGACAGAAGGACGGCAACGACTAACCGCCGTATAGGTGACTTGGTGAGATGAGGTACAGTTGTCACTAAGTGCCAGTGCAACAAATCGATAAGCTTTCCTGCTTAGTCTATGATATAATCGCAAGTGAAGTACTCTAGCACGCTTGCCACTAAAACTGCATCGACGGACAGCCCCACCAGCCCAGGCAAGGACGACCGTTGATGAGCCGCGCCCTGGCCGGACGCCGGCTTGCCGAGCGCCGCCAGCCGGATGTAGCCACGCACCTGGAGGTCGCAGCAGGCTCCGGTGGCGCAGGTGCCGTTGGTACGCAGCCGGCAGGTGGCAGGGTCGCAGCAGGGAGTGCTGCACTCCGACGGCAGGCCGCAGTCACACTCCTCGTCCGGCTCCACAAACCCGTTACCGCACACGGGTGCGTCGAACAGGCTGGGGGCGGACCAGCGGCGCGTGACGTCACCCATGACGGCGACTGCACGCGGCGGAGGACGCCACTGGCGGTCAACTGGACCAGCGAAGCCACAGCGGGAGGGTCACGGGCGCAGTGCTACCAAAGCCAACCGACAGCAAAACAACCGGAGACGTTCAACATTTCAGACAGCGTGTAAAAGCGCCGCTCACGAGTACACCGGTCTGTCGGCCCATTGCTGGCCGTCCTCGGCGCCAGGCGGATGCGTCAGCTGCTCCGGCAGCGTCGGATCGGCAGACAGCGTGACCTCCGGCGGCGAACGTCACTCACGGTCCAGCGGGCTTGTTGCGGAGACAGTGGTCCAGTCCGCGCTTGAACGACAGCGCCAGCTGACTGCGACTACAGGAACTCCAGCGGGTGGGGCCGACCGAACTGCGGCACAGTGGGCGACAGCGGGTGACTGACCGCCTGCAGAGCGGTCCCACTCGCGCCGCGAGTACTCCTCCAGCCGCCACGACACTCAGCTTTGTCGCAGATCCAGAGATCGTAACACAACGGAAAGGCAAGCATGCTCCCGGCACCACGAGAACTGGCCGAACCACCCGTTCCGACTGAGGTGAATATGTTCCGCTATCAGCATTTCAGCTGTGAATGGCCAGACATTGATCATCCGACATCGTCCGGCATCATCAGACCCTCCCTAGTCGGCGCCCGAGGACAGCGAGTCTGCGTCCGCGTCCCGGGGCGGGAACACGGCATCCAGGGACGAGAACGCCACCTGCTGGAACGGGGCGGGGCGTGGCGCACCTGGAAGTGGCTGACATGATACAGCGCTCGTCGTCGCATTGGCAGTCTTCCGAGTCATGCTCCAGGCCGAAGTTGTGACCCATCTCGTGCGCTACAGTCACGGCCACCAGCGACACCTGGCAGGCGGGTACCGGTCATCACCCGAATCACCACATAGATCACCACACGCGTCACTGCATAGGTCACCACCTAGGTCACCATCCAGATCTTCATAAAGGTCACTATACCTGGTAACCACATAGACACCACACTGGCCACTACAAAGGTCACCGCACTGGTCGCAAGATACGTCACCACACAGGTCACCACACAGGTCATCACCCAGGTCAACACATAGGTCACCACGCTGGTCCTCATGCTAGGCCATCACAGTCCGCAACACGCAACAAAACAGATGGGATTTATGCCTGAGTGCATGGCCAATAATCCGTGTTCCCAACAAACGGCTATATTCACACGGTTCACCTTTCTTCAAGATTTAATCCTGACCTTTTGAATAAGTGGACTTCCGGGATCAGAGCTCACGCCAAGCAGTGCTTGTGTGAGCCCTGGCTTTAACAATCCGGCCGCGCAATTCCATGTCCGCTGCAGAATTTGGTGGCGAAAGCTGACCGTGCCACAATGCTCGGCACGGTCTGTCCTGCCCTCTGACATCATCTGCCCTTTATCGCGGCTGCTGCCACCGGTCGCAGGCCATAGCCATCAAGGGCAAATAGCGAGCGCCTAAAGCGGCTCGAACCCACTGCGTCACGGGTGGGTGAGTCGGAGGGCAGGCGCTCTAACCAACTGAGTCATCGGGACTGACACACCGGGAGGACCCAGGATTGGACCCTTGGTCCAAGATTGAGTGCTGTCAGAGTCCAATCTGACCTCACCTGCTTAGAGTGATCCGTGTTGACTCCGCCACTGTACTTGTATGTGCACATGCCTCCACGCAGAGCCTTGCCTACCACGCCTCCTTCGAACTTGGTGCCCCTGTAGCGAAGGGGTGCTGGCGTCATGGCGACACCGTGCCCGTGGCCATGTCATACCAGCCATGGCCGGATGACGGGCGCAGGATATATCACAAAACAAAATTGCAGATTACAGTTGAAGCGTTTGTGCAGTTTTGTCGCAAAATGATTGGCTTGGAAACGACGGGGGAAACGAACAAGGACCTTCGAAACAATATTTCAGGGACCTGAATAATACTGAACTGTCCGCCCACGCAAACGCATCGCGGACCCCGATTATAAGTGAGGCGGCGACAGTATTGCGCTCAAAACGACATGGACTAACCATTCGCGCCTCTGAAGCCACCAAGATCTCATTTTTCAGTCGCTTTTACCACTTAATGCATGTATGCTTAGCAAGCAAATAAATGTAGCGCAACAATTCCAGACCAAACATTAAGTGTAAAGACCAATACCATTTGGGCCACTGACCCTGGCAGCTAAAGGCGACTCGCCTTTCGTTGTGATTGGCGCCAAAGTGACTCGTGCCCAGCCCATCCCGGGTGGGTGGATGGTAAAGACAAATGTTCTACACAACTGAGCTATGGAGACGGGCGGAGCGCTTGAGAATAATAGCAACAACTCTGAACGTGCGGTCAAAGCTGACGTTCCGCGAACCTTTCGCAACGTCTGGCACCAGGTGCCGGGACCAGTGGCCCTGTCACCGCCGCCCTGGTTACGCGCGTGAGCAGCTGGGCAGTGAGCCTGTCACCGCCGCCCTGGTTACGCACGTGAGCAGCTGGGCAGTGAGCCTGTCACCGCCGCCCTGGTTACGCACGTGAGCAGCTGGGCAGTGAGCCTGTCACCGCCGCCCTGGTTACGCACGTGAGCAGCTGGGCAGTGAGCCTGTCACCGCCGCCCTGGTTACGCACGTGAGCAGCTGGGCAGTGAGCCTGTCACCGCCGCCCTGGTTATGCACGTGAGCAGCTAGGCAGTGAGCCTGTCACCGCCGCCCTGGTTATGCACGTGAGCAGCTGGGCAGTGGGTCCGTCACCGCCGCCCTGGTTACGTATGTGAGCAGCTGGACAGTGAGCCTGTCACCGCCGCCCTGGTTATGCACGTGAGCAGCTGGGCAGTGGGCCCGTCACCGCCGCCCTGGTTACGCACGTGAGCAGCTGGGCGTTGTCGTTGGGTAGCTCGGAGGCGAGCCGTTCGCGGCGGTAGTGCAGGAAGTTGGTGAGCGTGTCGTCGCCGCTGGTGGAGAGAGCGATCTCGTCCGCGTCCGTCCACACGTCCACCCCCACCAGCGCCACGAAGACGTCCAGCTGAGCGTACAGCTGCGGCGGCAGATGACGTCAGCTTCAGACACACAGCTGAACCTCAGGAAAGACAGTGGGAGCCGGATAACACAACTGGCTTCATGAAGCATAGTGCTGTTTTGCTGTTCTCATCAGGGAAAGCGCGTGAATGCTGCAAGATGTAAGTTAGTGACGACCGGACTTCTGTTCAATGACATCCACGTCTTCTAATGGCGAGTGGCTGCTTCCCTTACAAAGCCTTCTGGAAATGCCAAATATTTGATTAGAGCAAAAACGCTCACCGCGTCTGGCTTCACGGTGCCAACCAAAACGCAAACATTTTGAGCGCATGGTCCGGACAATGACAAGCTCCATGACTCTGTGTCACCCACTGACCGAGTGCACAACGTTGGCGATCTGCTTGGCGCGCCGCTGCACGGTCTTGAGATCTGAGCCGTGATCGAGGTACACCTTGTGGTCCATGACCAGCACCAGCTCGAGGTACCGTGACCTCCAGCTGGCTCTGGACGGACCGAGCACAGCCGGCACGTCCCGCTTGCGCTGTCCAAGTAGATCAAGTCTCACTCCCAACGAACGACGCGACGCTCTAGTCAGAGCTGATCTCTTGGTGTGGAATGCATCTCGAAGGCCTGACCACGGAATTTGCGCATTGGCGCTACATTGCCATCGTCTTGTGTTTTACAAGTACGCAGACAAAACAACATAGGATGCGTGGATAACGAGCTATCCCGCGTCACTTCTACGGTACACAGATACAAATAGTGTTTAGACACTGCCGGAACCCGATGTAATAGGATCTGCATAGGCATAGTCTGGCGTCAAGACGGACTGGTGAATACACTGAATGAGAACCAAGAGTCATACCAAGCTCCGTGCTAAGCACTCCAACGGTAACGCGATCCGTAGAGGGGTAGATGGAACAATGGCTGGGACTATCGTTCTCGTTATGCTTCTCGTCAATGATTCGCGTCAATCCTCCCGTAAACCTACATCCGTAAGGGGTCCTGCCATCAACCCGGGGCGTAGCTATGCACCAACACCGGCGCCGGCCGGCGGGCGGGCCTCACCCTGTGCCGCGACGCGAGCCTGCCGGCCGCGGCGCGCGCCGCCGGCTCTGCGGTCCGGTCGTGCGGCTGCTCGTGGCGCCACAGGTCGCGCTCCAGGTACACCACGTGACGGCCGGCCGGGCCGGGCGACAGGAACAGGGTGCGTCCGGACACCGACACCACCCCGCTGAGGAGACGGCGGCGTCAGCTGACCGGCGGCCACCACTGCGGTCAGCTTCCTCAGCACACTGCTGCTGACGCCCCGCCTTGCTCTGACGACCTGAGTGTCCGTGCGAGGTCCGGCAACCACTCGATTTCAGCAGCCCGTCGTAGGACGTCTCAGCTACGAAACAAAACACCAATCGCCAGGTTGGACCCGTTGTTACTTTACGGTGCGAGTTCGCAGTTGTGGCCATTAATTCACGAGTTTCGCGCGATCCGCCGCATTGACGACAGACATCACATACTTGATGCCCTCGCAGATGGAGATGGCAGCCGACGACGCATCGTAGCCGCGCACCGAGCCTGTGTACAGACAGCGATCTCCGTCCTGGAACAGCCGGCGTCGTCAGCCCGACCATCGGCCCAATCACTGCTGACCCCTGCGGCAGCCACCGCTGCACTCAGCCGTCCACACGCCCCACCATCGGCCCAAACACTGCTGACCCCTGCGGCAGCCACTGTTGCACTCAGCCGTCCGCACGCTCCATCATCGGCCCAAACACTGCTGACCCCTGCGGCAGCCACTGTTGCACTCAGCCGTCCGCACGCTCCATCATCGGCCCAATCACTGCTGACCCCTACGGCAGCCACTGCTGCACTCAGCCGTCCACACGCCCCACCATCGGCCCAGTCACTGCTGACCCCTGCGGCAGCCACTGCTGCACTCAGCCGTCCACACGTTATATGCTGTTGCAACGTCGGCTCGCTTGGTAGACACTTACCGCTAAAGAGTTCCTTTCACGGACGTGGGACCCATTCTTTTGATATCGAAGAACGGCACCCTCTGCTACGACATGCCTGAAAATGATGGGCTCTGAGAGGATCTGGGTCCAATGGCAGGGCCTGCATTGATTTCACATACAAATTTCAGTAGAAATAATAGCAGAACAGCATGGAATATTTTGCAGGCCACAACGCGCGTTTGCATGCCAGTCTACGCGAGTGGAATCGAGCAGGAAGGCGGTACAGCAGCGTTTTCATTGCGGGCGAAATATAATAAACTGAATTAGAACTGGAGAAGCCTTTCCCTCAAAGCTTTTCAAAACTAGACACTGCCTCATTAGTTACAGCTTTCAAGGTTAGACATTGCCTCATTAGTTATCATATCCAAATTTCATGAACACTCCAACCAGCTGTTGCATAATAAAAACCACGTCCAGTATGACTGTTGCTGGTCCCCACAGCAGCACCCAAGCAGCCATTCACAATCTACAGACAGTCAAGCTTCAGACATTTGGGACGAAAACCTATAAGGGCTCCTTATCAACTGAGTTAAACCCAAATCATAAGCTCAGCAATTGTCGAGCAGGCCACAAAAGGAGCCTTCAACTGACTCGATATAGCAGGGTTGTCATTTCTGACAAAGTACAGGATGAAACTAAAAAAACACATGATTTTAACCAATGACTAAACAAATATTCCAGATGTGTGCAACGCTTGCTCAAAATGTGATTCACAGCACCACCACAATCAGAGAAAAATGATGTCCATTCACGACAGTACTAAGAGGTTGATAAATAAAACCCGTGGCAAATGTCACATACCACTGACAACTGACAATTGCCAAAAGTAAATGGCATAACAAATACCATTTCCCTCTGGCATGACCAGTTGCTTTTAATTGAGCATGCAAACTTGACATGTCCAGCTCATCTCTTACCTGTTATGTTTCATATCTAAAATGTAGCTCCTGTTCAGATGATCAAAGGTGATGGTAATGACATCATCCTGAAACACAATGCCCTTTACAAAAATCAAACCTGGATGTGCAAAATGTGCATCATTGTTATAAGCTAGCTAGAAGGTGTAGTGGTCACAGATCATTTCTGAATTAAATGTTTCCTTGCAGACTAGAGGCCAAACATGTCTTCAAAACAATGGCTCAGATAAAATGAGAAATTTTAACATCCTAACTTATTGGTATTTTGTTCCAGAGTACAGTTTTGTTCACCAGAACCATTGCCATGGGTTTCTAGGGCCATAGCATCATAAAATATTTAATGCACATTGCCCCTTGAGTGAACACCACGCTATGTGTGACAGTTGATGCATTGAATGTGAACCACTGATCTCAAGATGTGGTGTTCAGTTCCATAGCACCTGCTTTCAAGGAATATGATGAAGCTGATCCATAATGAATACACAAAGATACCTGATCATGTGTGGATGTGATGTCTTGTCTCCTTCTTCCATGAAGTACCTTCAAATCTACTATAGCATAGGTCTTGAAACTGGTGTCTGGGTGAATGTCTGAAAAAATCAATACAACTGTCTGCATTGAGAACAGGCTGAGTACCTAAGACATAAACATGAATGTTTTCATTTTAAATACTCACTGACTACAGTTAATACACCATCACAAACTTGCTTCAAGGAATGCCATTGTTTCTACCATTTTTTCTGCTATGGTTTACAAAGAATTACATGAAATATTGCAATGCTGCACACAGTAAAATTTGCTTTAAAGTCTGGATATATCCAAGTTAGCCTAGGTTTAAATGTGCTGCAGAGCAGCAGTCAGTGTATAAGTCTGCACCAAACTATAAAAACAGCAGTTTATCACTTGAATACATTTCTCTAAATGATCATGGCAAATGTTACTAACCATGTGAACTCCATGATGGAAATGGTCCTGCTTCACATAGATGAATGCATAAAATAACAGTGAATGTTCCACAATGCCTCATTGGCTGCTGTTCACAGCTCTTGCACCAACAACCACAATTTCATTCCCAAAAAGTGGTGTCCAATCTGTTTCACTTTACATACTTCCATGCGCTGTAAAGAGGGATGAAGATTAGGCACATCATTATGTGCTTGAGGTAAATATAAGCATACAACACAAGAGAGATTGCAAGAGCTGATAAAATCCATTGTATAGCCCAGCAGCTATCTGCAAATCTTTGCATGAGACTAACATTAGCACAATCCTATGGAATCTGTACTGCAGGTCAGCACAGCAGAAATCTACAAACTACTGTGGCACTGTCTGATTTTTGAAATAAGGGTACAAATCATATAGTCTGCATTATTTATGCAGATAGTACAGCTGATCTGACACTGATTTTAATCTGAAACCAATCCAACAGGCTTACAGGGCATCTAGCCAACTAGGTTTGTCCATCCACACAACTTGTTTGCCAACCTTTTATGGATTCTCAGAGAGGTCATGGCATTAACCTTTTCTTCAGGATGATTCCAACATAAGCAGAAAGTCTTCTTTTTCAGTCATAGCTGTGTAGATGAATGCAATCACTGACCCAAATATATTGCCAGATCCTCAAATTTGTCCCCCATCAAGCCTACCCTTTCAATGACACTGGGAGTAAATACTTTTCACTTGCTGGACTGACAATTGATCTATCTCATGTCATATTCCTTTAATACTTTCACCCCAAACAGGAATCACACCTTACATGCACCCTATACAATTGGGAGTTGTGGGGTAAAAATAAACCTGTTGTCATTTTGTTCCACATCCAGATAATACCCTTCAACACAGATTTTTGACTTATTTCTGGCTGATAAAAGGCTGCTTTACCTTCAAACAGCATGTCTGATAGCTTAATTCATGTAGCTAAGGCCACAAAAATTAAATTTTATCTGCAGTGCATCCTGGCAATTATTCCATTCACACACACATATACCCCCTCCCCCCCTCCCACATGCACACATACACACCAAATGCAGCTATTGGTTAATGTTTGTCATGCAGCAACTAGAATAGAGCTGTTACATGCAAATGCCTGAACTGTATTATTTGAATTTCTTTATGGTGGTGCTGATGATTGGAGTACACTGACATCCATCTACTATATGAAAAGCCCTGATACACATTTTCATCTTAGCATCAGGTTTTCATGAATTACAAGAGCAATGCACAAAGCCAATAGCATGTATGGAAGAGGGCCAGGAAAGAACACAAAGCATTCCCTATTCACCACTGCTAAAATAGATATGAAAACAAAAAGCACAAAATAAATAATTTTATTGTCAAAATAGGGCATTATAGAAGCTCTATAACTTTCCCAGCATTTTCTAATGAAGAAAATCCCCCAAATCCAGCAATTCACAGACGTGATCCACTGCAAAGCCTTTCAACACTTACTGTTCCAATGCTGCCTCCTCACAAACTATCACTCTGCTCACCCATAAGGCCTAACATTCGCGAATTGGCACGGATCAGTGTGCAACACATACTACGGACGGGTTTTCATGCATATGCATAAGTTTATAAGTAACTGATCACAAATCCACAAAAAGCGTGCATTCTGAACGTCCCCATCATGCCTCCTTTCTGTAAAAATGTACAAACACCACACACAGGGCACAGCCCTTGCGCCCCTTTATGTTCCTCCAGTGTGTCGGTGCGCAAACAACTGTTCTTGTCGCTTCTGCGCCACAAAAGTACTTTATTAGTGTTGGACTTCATCGGCCTACCATTACATGGTACGTACTTTTGCAATTTTACTGATTTACGTATGATTCCCTAAATATGATTATAATCACTGGTCTAAGGAGCCAATAGAGTAATTTTTTTTTAAATCTGTTCATTTTGAAATTTTAGATGCAAAATTCCAAGAGAACTGTTAACTATTGAGGTACTTAGTCAATCTCTATCTCTGTATTGTAATGGCGCAGCAGCGACAATTTAGTTTTCTCGTGAGGTTTCTGATCTCCGCTCTAATTGGAGTGTTTTGTATGGGTCTGAGTGCGAGTTTGTCGGCCCCGGAACTGCCGGTGGTTTGGTGATTGCACTCGAGGGTAAGCAGACGGCAATTCGTGGCTGATTTCCCACACATACCTGCAAACAACGCGATTTTACTGTCCTGTACCCACGCACGATTGTATGTTAACTGTGGTCTTACATATGTGGCAGTATGACTTACGAGTTATGTTCCTGGACGCCTATGCGCGAAATCCGAAATTTGTCGAAAAATAGGAAGTTTGACATGCTTTAGGTTAATAAAATGTCTTGTTCATGTTTCACAAAAATAGTGTTTACTCACAGAAGCGTCATATTGTAGTTCTGATACTCTCTCGTGGTCCACATGACTGAAATTAAATAACTCCCTTGGTTTTCCATGTCATTTTCAAATGATGCTGCATGTGAATAAGGCTGATATGTGCATGTCTTCAATGTTACTTGTGGTCACAGGATGCTATTGGCTTCTGCTTGCATCATTTCAGATTTTATTCTTTTGATGTATTAAAGTCTACTGTCTTTAAATGGCTACCTGTGGGCCAGACTTCAGAAAACATACCACTGAACATGTTTGGCATATTAGACAAATTTTACCAATAATGTCAGTGCTTGTGTTGTGTAAATATGATTATTGAATATGGTGTTCTGTCACTGTCAACTTAAGAGCATAGAGAGTGAGTTACGTGAAATAAATATGTTGTAATGCTGATATTGAGAAAACACCCATGGTCATATTTTTGGGCTTAAGTTATTTCAAAGTTGAGCACAATGTAGCCTGAAATGAGTGAAGTGCACACTTTTATCAGGTTCAGGAAAACCATGTCACTTTGCTGTCCTGTGCATCCACTGGTTGGATTTATTAGCTTTTCAAACTAGCTTGTAACTGCTTGCATTATCTTATATGCACAGACAACATGCAGCAGTGTCAAGTTTAATATCGATCAATTTTATTTCTCTAAACATTATTAATAATCAAATGCCACCCTGATATGCGCTGTAATGTTGACCCAAGGCTGCTAGTTACTGTAATCATTTTTTTCTCAATTTAGCAGCAAGAACAAAACCAGGTAATGATAAATGCTGGAAAATCAGGGCTGCTGTACCTCAAGAATATAAAGGCAATTAAATCTTATTGGGTGAATTATCTCTGCTGAATGTGCTCTCCTGCTGTGTGTTTAAGAGAACAGCAAAGCCGTCAGTGCTCACACTCTCTAAGTTTTTAAACCCCTCATTTTAAAGGAGAAGTGAACAGCTATGTGTGATTAAAAAACCCATATATTCACTGAATATGCTAACACTGATACAGTTAAGAAAAGTTCACATTAAGATGCATGGCCATCAAGTGCAGATGCAGCAACAATGGCTACCACAGCTAGGGTGCACCATTTTCAGTGTGAGCACCTTGTTTGCCATTGATCGGTCATAACAAAATGAGGTGTTCACATGGTGCAATGGTTCTTGAGCAGACCCATTGGGACAATGGATCCACTTAAGATGCCATTGGGGCCATGGGTGTGCTCAAGTTTTGAACATGGTGGCTGCTCCAAGCATCTTATGGTCATATAATAGACCTATGTTTTTTATATGGATCATACTTGTTCCAGTAACTGAAGCATAGAGCTTGCTCTCAACCCTATCATATAATATTATTTTATCTGACATGTATTCTTGAAATACCTGAAAGCTGGTGTGTGATGCCAGCAGAATTTTTGGCTGAGTTTGGGTCTTACACTAATGGTACCTGTTATGTTGGGCCAGGCTTAAGTGAAGTGTTGATTTATGCAAATCAATCCACCTGCAGAAAAGAGGAAGCTGGCCCTAATTTTGTGCTGGAACACACTCAGGGAAGTTCAGCTGCTGTCCACATGTTCAAGGCACTTATGGTACACATGTATGGTGTGTATGGACTATTGGCTGCAAAATGAGGGCAGCATCCAAAATATACTTGTTGATGTGAAAAGCAACCAGGGCTGTAAACCAGTATTTGGGCATTAGCTGCCACAGTTGGGGGCAGAAAATTAAACATATGCAGGCTAGTTTACTTCTGGTGTTGAGACTATGGTTGTGTTATTTGGCATTACATATATGCCTTCTGGCATGTCTTATGCCATGCCTCATATTAAGTACTTATGTTACATACTTGATACATAATTTGCACATCATTTGTACATAATTTAGGCTTTTAGAAGGTGGATTTTATCCTTGGAAACACACCAGCTGAAGTTGGCAGGGTGCTCCATATTTTGTGCTGGTACATGTCGCCAGCACACTCTGGGCACTCCGGGTTCATTGCTTGTACACGTCACCAGCATGCTAGGGGTGCTTCGGGTTTTGTGCTAATAAACAAATAATCCTACCAGTAGGAAGTGGTGGAATGATGCTATTGAGCAAGCATTGGCCACATCAAGGCCATATAAGTGCTGGCTTATATGGGCGAGTTTGGACGTTTCGAAGCTGCACTCATGGTTACGAGCCGGTAATGTTGAGCTAAAAGAAGCACTTAAAAACGAACACACATGAACACAAAGATGTTTGTGTATACAGACATTATCATTAAAAAGATGTTGCAATAATCATTTGAGCACAATTTTTCTACTTTTCAACAAACCACAAATGCATGTGTTGATTCCATGCAGTTGCAATTAGGTGCACCCGCGGCTTCTGTGAAAGCGATCGTGATATCATAACTATATAGGCATTGCATCTATCTTCTGATAACACAGCGCTTTGAGTGTAGTGCAGCTATGATGTCTCTTCTTCTTTGTAGGAATGCGTGTCCAGGACACGAAACAGGGCCTGCCGCTTATGCTGCATGTTCTCGATTTGACGGTATATCAGGTTTGTAAAGCGCTTGAAGGGGATAAAATGAAGCAATTATTCGGTTTAAACTATCATTTACAGATGGCCGTCTGTGCAAACATGACAATGTTGCCGCAGGATTGAGGGTTTTGAGGGCCCTTAGGACGGTAGGAATGAATGGTCACAGTTCAAATTCTACCCTAATTCGACTAGCCCTGAACACCTCACCCCACTACGTCCAGCTGAGAGTAGGATTTACCAGTCGCTAAACTGAAAGGCCAATATACGTGGATGAGCATATGATGTAAGATTTCTTATAACCTCCGATCCTGGATCTGTTATGTGGAAGAAACGAAACTTAACATTCGGAAACGCACATTCGCAAGTGCTATCCAAAACGCAGCGTTCGCGATGACGTGCGCAGTTCCAATGTTATGAATGTTGGTATCTAACAAGCTGTTCAAAATAACAGAAACATAATAGAAACAAAATAACGCGTCTGCATGCATGTAATATTTCTGGGGGGGGGGGGGGGTAGTTTGATAAACCCATTGCGCCCCGAAAAAGGTTAATCCAAACTTGGCATGTTTTGTGAATTTATTCCGAAGCATACGAGCTTGTTGCTGCGTGTGAACGAACCCTTTTGTAAGTGGAACCTTTTGAACGTGCCAATGAGCCACCAATTTATACAACAGGTTTCTTTGCGTGTTGGAATGTTCGCGCTTTTAAGGGCTTGATTTGGCTCCCTAATTTTTTTTTTAATACTGCTTCTTCAACGCAGCTTGAATTTTGTCGCCGTTCAGTAAGAAGTGCGCAAGGAACTTTTGATGAGGGCGCACACGCGCCGAGAAGTTGTAACGCCTTTACATAATGGCCTGCGAATGTTTGTCCAGGACGTTGAGCATTAAAGCCCCAGACAGACGCATCACCATGCGTTTAAAGGAATTATGAGCTCAGATTTCTTATGCTGAGTTATCGACCTTGAATTTACCAGGAGGTGCTGGTTAAACGATGATTTAGAGCAAACATGTGTTATCTGGTCAATACTCGAGGTTTCAAGCTGTGCATCTGATCACGAGTGATCCCGTGATCATCTGCGATCATAAGTACAGCTTGAAACCTCGAGTAATGACAGTATAAAACTAAGGCTTGCTCTATAATGTCGTTAAATGAAGGCCTCCTAGTGTGATAAATGTTGATGACTCGGCATAATAGCTCAGAACTGAAGCCGAAAAGCGTGGGATTAAGGGCCTTGCCTATTTCTGTCAGGCGTAAGACAATCAGGCACTGCAGGGACGCAGAGAGTTTCGAGCTGGCACATCGCCGCGAATTGGCACGATCTAAGCCCCCCCCCCCCAAAAAAAAACTACTTATTTCGCGGCGTCATGTGACCTTTGAAAGGAACTTGAAGCAATCAGAAGCAATTGAGTTCAAAAACAATTATTCACAACTGTATGATTTACGGCGGCCTTTGGTGTTTGATCCATGCCACATATTACATGCTTCTAAAGTATCGTTTCATGGATGAGCACTTCACATGTCGGCGTTGGGAAATGCGGCTGAACCTGTGTAATACCTAGTGGACTTGTTTGCGCAATCACTATGTAAACTTTTCAAATGCCATGACCAACCCATGGCGATGAAATAAGATAATGGCTGAAATACCGCGGCTCCCCACGCATTCGGCTGAAGCGCCGTTTTTGTGAGCCAGCGAGGTTATCGATAGGTCTTATCCATGTCGACTTGAACCCGCAGCGCTTTTTGGTGGATGCACGACACCACGATGACTCCAGCTGTTTGTTACGTAGTATGATAACATCATGACCTTCGCAATCCATCGTACC